AGGTTAGGTTAGATTAGGTTAGGTTAGGTTAGGTTAGGTTAGCTTAGGTTAGGTTAGGTTAGGTTAGGTTAGTTTAGGTTAGGTTAGGTTAGGTTAGGTTAGGTTAGATTAGGTTAGGTTAGGTTAGGTTAGGTTAGCTTAGGTTAGGTTAGGTTAGGTTAGGTTAGTTTAGGTTAGGTTAGGTTAGGTTAGGTTAGGTTAGATTAGGTTAGGTTAGGTTAGGTTAGGTTAGCTTAGGTTAGGTTAGGTTAGGTTAGGTTAGTTTAGGTTAGGTTAGGTTAGGTTAGGTTAGGTTAGTTTAGGTTAGGTTAGGTTAGGTTAGGTTAGGTTAGTTTAGGTTAGGTTAGGTTAGGTTAGGTTAGGTTAGTTTAGGTTAGGTTAGGTTAGGTTAGGTTAGGTTAGATTAGGTTAGGTTAGGTTAGGTTAGGTTAGCTTAGGTTAGGTTAGGTTAGGTTAGGTTAGTTTAGGTTAGGTTAGGTTAGGTTAGGTTAGGTTAGGTTAGGTTAGGTTAGGTTAGGTTAGGTTAGGTTAGGTTAGGTTAGGTTAGGTTAGGTTAGGTTAGGTTAGGTTAGGTTAGGTTAGGTTAGGTTAGGTTCCACGGACCTGCCTGGTTGTCCAGGCGGGCGGGGAGGTGATACCCCGACGTGGCGCGTCCCCGGGTGGCGGATAGGGGAATGCTCGCTGCACCGGTGGCTGGGTCTTCGGACCCAATCATCGGTGCAGAGGGTAGGAGGGAAATAAAATACCTCCCGCGGACCAAACACAAGGTGTGGATGATGAATGAGTGATTGAATGAATGTATGGATGAATGGCGTCGTTGAGAGTGCTCGCGGAGGGCACAGTTCAAGGAGTAACTACTTGGGTATTTATGCACGTGTCATGCTCACCAACTTATTATTCTACGAGTAATTGACAGAGGATAATAACGCGTTTAACCTAAAGTATCTACCAATATAACACGATTAGAAGCTAAACATAGCATAAATCAAATAGACAACGGAACAAAGCCATAAAATAAAGAAAAATGGTAAACAAGGGGTAAATAAAAACAAGAAATTTTCAATAGTTAAAATTCAATTATTAGCAAGCATGCAAATATAAACTAAAACTTACAAAATACATGAGTATAAATAAACAATACAAACAGGTAGTTTAGACATCCATATTTCAACGCGATCAGAAACAATACGAGCTGCAGTATAGAAGAATGACGCTTTGCTGCGTGAAACGGGTGTGTATTATGACGATGAGTGAATGTATGCGTGGGCTGGTGGACACGGCGTCCGGCTGGGAGTGGCTGGCATGCGGACAGCTGTCCCCGCTGCCCGTACTGTACGGCCTGATGTGGTTTTTCCTGCCGAGGCTCGTGATGTCGTGTTGCGCTTGGAGGCGACCACCTCGATGTCCCTGGCCAGGAAGCGAAGACTGAGTGAGGGGGTCGGAGACCCTCACCGCGCCGAGCGAGTGTCCTCCCGTCTGGTGTTCGGGGGGGACGAAAATGCAACGGCGGAGTCCCCGGAGTACCGGGGAGAGTGCAAAAGCCTTGGGTGTACCCATCCGCCGGCAGCCCGCTCCTTTCTTCGCGATGCGTCGCTGAAAAACAAAGTATGTTTACTAAAATTCCCTCAAACTCAAATTCTAATTCAAACGCAAATAAAAAGAATGTAACTAAAAATACAAAGGAAAGTGATGTGAACAAACAAAACACGAAGGAGAAAACGAATAGCAGCCAATTGGCTGAAAAATCGATCGACGATGTCGCGTACGAGAATGCACATACTCCGCGAAACACTCTAATGAGAAGCCCATTAAACAAAGACCACAACAGACCGATAACGCCAAAAACAAGTTCAGATTCTGAATCGCGTCAAATGAGCTCAATACAGTCGGTTAAAAGGAAGAGAGAAAGTAAAAAGAACGAGCAAGCACATAAAACAGCCACCAGCGACGAAAAACCGCTCAGCTCGAACGAAAAGAGGAAAGTAAGAAAGAAGAAAACCAAAGAAAGCGATACTTCCGAAGACGAAGTTCTGTCGGAATCAGACGAAGAACGCGACTTGCAATTACAACCAGACAACACGCTAGCAGAAATTCTTTTAGAATGTGCCGAGAAGATTGACATAGTCGCAACAACCTCGGGCAACCTAAAAGGAACACACTGGAAGATCCTGAACCAAGTTGAAGATACTATAAAATCTATAGCGACGGAGAACTCCAGTAGAATAGTGGAGAAATCGGCAGAACTGACGGTCCTAAAAAAAGAGAACTACGAGCTTAAAAAAACAATCAAGAGACTCGAAAAAAGAATAGAACTACTTGAAACGAAGAAAAAAGAAGAAATGACCAGCGATGTAAATGAAGGTGAGTTGATAATCAAAAGACTGTCAGATATAATGACTGAAAAAATTGATGAAAAAATGTCCAAATTTCAAGACGAACTAACAAAGCTCTTTGAAATCAACGGAGCAGAGAATAATACACCCGTTATTTCAGTTAAAACCGCTCAGACGTCACTACAAAGAGACAATCTAAATATCCCTGCTAAAGCCAATAGGCAAGAGTCGTGGGCATTAGTAACCGCAAAAAAAAGTACTAGAGGAATAGGTGGAAATAACACCCCTCGGACAAAACAAACAACTAATAAACAAACAAACGATATACAATTAGAAAGAGCTAATGCCCCAACACGCGTTGGAACAAACGTGGAAAGGAAAAGACCGAGAGGATCGTCAGCAGTATGTATAACAAGGGGTGAAAACTGTCTCCTGAGCATGGTGCAAATTTTACAAACTGCGAAAAGTAATATAAACCTGAAAGATTTGGGAATCGAAAGCCTTAAACCCAGATCTTCTTTAAACGGCGGTATTGTACTTGAGATCCCCAAACGCGGTATGGCGACGAACGCGAAGTATTTAGCAAGTAAAATTGAGGACCTTTTTCATGGAAAAGATGTCAGGATTACATGTCCCGTAAAACAAAGAGAGCTGTTGCTCACGGGTCTTGACATATCGACCTCAGAATCAGAAATCCGTTTGGCGCTTCTGTCATATATTAAAAATGCGCACGACCTGAAAATCGGCCAAATTAAGAAGAATATACGAGGAACATGCTCAGTATGGTTAAAATGCTGCGAGGATGATGCCTTTAACTTAATAAACGAAGGTAGGATAAACATCGGCTGGTCGAGCGTAAAAGTGATTGAGATTGAACAGAGACCGACGCAATGCTTTAGATGTTGGCACTTTGGTCATACGAAATTCAACTGCACAGCTACAATAAGTAAAGAAAAATGGTGTTATAAATGTGGAAAAGAGGACCACACAATCAAGGAGTGCATAGCCGAAAGTTTCACCTGTAGACTCTGCTCAGAGGCAGGAATAGCAAATGGGCATAGAATAGGAAACAAAGAATGTGGGACATTAAAAAAATTTAACGACGAACAAGTAAGAAAAAAAACGCGTCGAAGAACGAACAATGATGCGGAGAAACCCATAGTCGAGGGGAAAAAGAACGACCAGAACGTGGAAGTTCAGAATGATCCTACGAACGAAACACACAGTGACCAAGTCTCCGATAAACCATGGATCTTAGGGTGATACAAACGAATATTAATCACTCATATACTGCCCAAAGTCTTNACACACTGGAAGATCCTGAACCAAGTTGAAGATACTATAAAATCTATAGCGACGGAGAACTCCAGTAGAATAGTGGAGAAATCGGCAGAACTGACGGTCCTAAAAAAAGAGAACTACGAGCTTAAAAAAACAATCAAGAGACTCGAAAAAAGAATAGAACTACTTGAAACGAAGAAAAAAGAAGAAATGACCAGCGATGTAAATGAAGGTGAGTTGATAATCAAAAGACTGTCAGATATAATGACTGAAAAAATTGATGAAAAAATGTCCAAATTTCAAGACGAACTAACAAAGCTCTTTGAAATCAACGGAGCAGAGAATAATACACCCGTTATTTCAGTTAAAACCGCTCAGACGTCACTACAAAGAGACAATCTAAATATCCCTGCTAAAGCCAATAGGCAAGAGTCGTGGGCATTAGTAACCGCAAAAAAAAGTACTAGAGGAATAGGTGGAAATAACACCCCTCGGACAAAACAAACAACTAATAAACAAACAAACGATATACAATTAGAAAGAGCTAATGCCCCAACACGCGTTGGAACAAACGTGGAAAGGAAAAGACCGAGAGGATCGTCAGCAGTATGTATAACAAGGGGTGAAAACTGTCTCCTGAGCATGGTGCAAATTTTACAAACTGCGAAAAGTAATATAAACCTGAAAGATTTGGGAATCGAAAGCCTTAAACCCAGATCTTCTTTAAACGGCGGTATTGTACTTGAGATCCCCAAACGCGGTATGGCGACGAACGCGAAGTATTTAGCAAGTAAAATTGAGGACCTTTTTCATGGAAAAGATGTCAGGATTACATGTCCCGTAAAACAAAGAGAGCTGTTGCTCACGGGTCTTGACATATCGACCTCAGAATCAGAAATCCGTTTGGCGCTTCTGTCATATATTAAAAATGCGCACGACCTGAAAATCGGCCAAATTAAGAAGAATATACGAGGAACATGCTCAGTATGGTTAAAATGCTGCGAGGATGATGCCTTTAACTTAATAAACGAAGGTAGGATAAACATCGGCTGGTCGAGCGTAAAAGTGATTGAGATTGAACAGAGACCGACGCAATGCTTTAGATGTTGGCACTTTGGTCATACGAAATTCAACTGCACAGCTACAATAAGTAAAGAAAAATGGTGTTATAAATGTGGAAAAGAGGACCACACAATCAAGGAGTGCATAGCCGAAAGTTTCACCTGTAGACTCTGCTCAGAGGCAGGAATAGCAAATGGGCATAGAATAGGAAACAAAGAATGTGGGACATTAAAAAAATTTAATGACGAACAAGTAAGAAAAAAAACGCGTCGAAGAACGAACAATGATGCGGAGAAACCCATAATCGAGGGGAAAAAGAACGACCAGAACGTGGAAGTTCAGAATGATCCTACGAACGAAACACACAGTGACCAAGTCTCCGATAAACCATGGATCTTAGAGTGATACAAACGAATATTAATCACTCATATACTGCCCAAAGTCTTCTTGAGCAATTCATACTGGAAAATAACGTTAACATCGCTATCATTGCTGAACCATACAGGATTAAGAAGGACGAACAATATACAGACTCAAGTGGAAAAGTCTTAATTACAACTCGAAACAACGGTGGAGAATTTAATGTTAAAAGTGTCACTCAAGGTGACGGTTTTGTAACAATCGAATCGGAAAAAATAAAAATTATTGGCGTTTATGCATCACCAAACGTCCCATTTAGAGTCTATGAAAGGATGTTAAACGAACTAGAAACTATTATTAAAAACACAAGTGACAAACTTGCCTTGCTTATCGCAGGAGATTTCAATGCCAGAAACAGACAGTGGGGAGACACCACAACTAACCAAAGAGGGAAAGAGACAATGACATGGGCTAGAAGAAACAATCTGTTTATCAAAAACAATACGAACAAACCAACGTGTGTGAGACCACAAGGTTCCTCACACATAGATCTCACCTGGACCAATAGAACAGCAGATGAACTGGTGACGAACTGGGAAATCGTGGAAGCGGAAACCCTCTCGGACCACGTTTATATCGCCTACAACCTAAAAAACAAAACAATTAGTAACAAGAAAAAATGTGCAAGGAAAAAGAAAAAATACTTTCCCAGATGGAATTTCAAAAACGCAGACAAAGATCTATGCTGCGCAACGACAACAGCCAGGCTCTGGAACATGGAAATCCGAAGCGATACCTCTATTCCTGAAACAATAAAGAAAATTAATAAAGCACTAGTTGAAACCTGCGACTCTACAATGAAAAGGTCCTCTTACTACCACAAGAAACCGACAACCAACGAATGGTGGAGCATGGAAATAGAAAAATGTAGAATTGCCTGCAGGAAACGAAGAAGAACGTGGCAAAGAGAAAGAAGAAGACCCTCCTCTAACACCGATGTAGATAGATTAGCGGAGGCTGAAAAAGACTACAGAAGAATTAAAAAACAATTAAAACTTATGATAATAGACGCGAAAAATAATAAGTGGAAAGAGATAGTTGATAGCATAGACGGCGACCCATGGGGTCGAGCGTATAAATGGGCGTCAGGGAAAAAATCCGCAGGAGGTCCTATAGATCTAGAAACGCTAGACAATGAAACTATTAACAAAATTGTCAACGCACTTTTTCCGGTAGGGCCGCCACTCTCTGGAATCTTAATGAGAAACGAAAACATAAGATTGATATCTGAAGTAGAGATCTTCCACGCCATAGATAAAATGAGGAGAAAAAATAAGGCACCAGGCCCAAATGGCATACCTGGATTTATTACCGCGTATGCTATAAGCGAACTTAGCAAAGTCTTCCTAAGGATTTATAATCAGTGTTTAGTAGATGCCACGTTTCCGCAAGATTGGAAAAGAGCGAAACTAATACTACTCAAGAAGCCGGGAAAAGAAAAAAATGATCCATCTGGATACCGTCCGATTTGTCTATTAAACGACGAGGGGAAAATATTCGAAAGAATCCTGGCAAGCAGAATCGAAGAACTTCTTCAAAGAAAAGGCTGCAAACTCTTCAAACACCAATATGGGTTCAGGAGAGGTTGCAGCACTATTGACGCAATCTCGCGTGTTAAAGCGCAAATAAAAGAACAAACAGATAAAAACAGTATAGCCATAGCGGTTAGTGTTGACATTAAGAACGCATTCAATTCGTTACCATGGCCCATGATCATTAGAGGATGTAAATCCAAAAAATTTCCAACGTACATGACAAACATCATAGCATCATATTTAACGGACAGAGAAATTACCTTCGTCAATGCCGAAGGTAACTACGTGCGAAAGAGAATCGAGGCCGGCGTTCCACAAGGATCTGCTCTAGCAGCAATACTGTGGAACGTCGGCTACGACGAAGCCCTTCAGATTCCTCTCCCCTCAGGTGTCGAAATGACTGCATATGCGGATGATACGATACTAATTGCCACAGACAAGAGCTTCGAAAGGGCGATTAATAAAGCCTCGATTGCCACGAACCTCCTATATAAAAAGATTTGCAAAATGGGACTCCAGGTGGCAGCGAAAAAGACTGTCGTGACATGTTTTCATAACGCGAACATGAGAATACCTAAGGAACGAAAAGTTATTAAAATAATGAATGAAACTATTGTAATGGAACCGATTACAAAATACTTAGGGGTCTATTTGGATGAATGTATGAATTTCCACGAACACATCGAACGTACACTTTCTAAAACGACTGGCTTCATGAATCATCTATGTAAGATTCTTCCGAACATTGGAGGTCCAAGTGAAGCAGTAAGAAGGCTGTATAGCAGTACAGTCAACTCCAGGATACTTTACGGCTCTCCAATTTGGGCCGCAGAGTCTCTGGAAGATAAGGAAAACCTAAAAAATCTTAAAAATCTACAGAAACGTATGGCAATTAGAATAATTAAAGGCTACAAGACCATTGCAATGCAGTCGGCCCTCCTTCTGGCCTTAACTCCACCAATAGATATAGTACTCACGGTTAATCTTAAATACTATAAGCTTCAACTGAAAGAGAAAAGAAAGAAAACATACAATGATAATGTTAAGCAGAGACTAAACAAGGAAAGGAGACAAGAAATACTCTTAGTTTGGGAAACAGCACTGAACTCGTCACGTACGGATTTCAGTTCATCAATAATCAAGGCCATCCGACCCCTTCTGAAAACGTGGTTAAACAAAAAAAATAAAAGGCTAACTTACCATGCTACACAAATGTTGACGGGTCACGGCTGTTTCGGCGTATATCTAAATAGAATCGGCAAGGAGACAGAACCGCGTTGCCATCACTGCACAGCGGACAAAGATGACTATCATCATACCCTGGTGGAATGTACAGCCTGGAATGAAGAAAGAGAGGAATTGAAATGTAAAATAGGAGAATTCATTGATCTGAACACACTTTTAGTACGTATCCTGACCTCAGATAATAATTGGAACCATTTCCTAACCTTTTGCAATAAGGTAATAAGTATAAAGGAAGAAAAAGAAAGAGAAAGAGAAAGGTTAGGAAGAAATGTTTTATCGCGTATTTAACCGACAATGTGTTATGTCTTTTTTCTGTTATTTATTCCGCGTATTTAACCGTCATAAGGAAAGATAACCATGCTAATCTCTTTTAGTGATCAGCATGGTTACAAAATAAAGTCCATGCTCTATGACCCAGCATGGACTTATACACAAGGAATGTAATTTATTTAAAGAAAGAGGCACTCCCACATCCTGGTTTGAGAGCCAACAGGTAGAAATAGCTCCCCGTACGGGTTTGAGTTTAATAATAAGGTAGAGTTCTAGGGACAAAGCGCGGGATGGATCCGGTGCAATCCGCAAGGGGTCCCGGATCCTCCCCCGTTGCGCTTCCAAGGGGTCATCGCGGGGTTTTAGCCGGTTCGAATCCGGCACTACCCCCGGGTCGACTTCCGTTAATCGGAGGTCGGCACGGGGGTGTCTGTGGAGATTTCCCCGCGTCAAAAAAAAANCCGGTTAGGTTAGGTTAGGTTAGGTTAGGTTAGGTTCCACGAACCTGCCTGGTTGACCAGGTAGGCGGGGAGGTGATACCCCGACGTGGCGCGTCCCCGGGTGGCGGATAGGGGAATGCTCGCTGCACCGGTGGCTGGGTCTTTGGACCCAATCATCGGTGCAGAGGGTAGGAGGGAAATAAAATACCTCCCGCGGACCAAACACACGGCATGAATGATAAGGAATGAATGATGTATGATAATGAATGAGTGATGAATGATAATTTTATATGTGGCACTTACCTGCAAATTGTGGGGAACTTACCTGCAATTTGTGGCGAACTTACCTGATCCTCTTCTTACCCTCTTACTCCTTTATCCTTTCTTCCTTTCTTCATTTCTTCCTTTCTTTCCCTTATCCTACATACTTACCAATGTACTTACCTTCCTCCTGGATACTTACCTGTTGTGATGTCCCTGGAATGAATGATGATGAGTGGGCTGGCACGGGTGTTGTCGGTGCTGGGAGTGTCCGGATGTTGTGAGGTTGTTTCCCACCCTGCAGCTATTCGGACTGATGTGTGTAAGAACTGCCGAGGCACCTGGCGATTCCTGATGTCTGGAAATGACCATTTCGATCCCTGGCCAGGTAGTACAGACTGAGTGGGGGGATCGGAACCCCCACCGCCCCGAACGAGCGCCTCCCCGTCAGTGGTCCGGGGGAGGTAAAGCGTATACATGGGATCCCCGGAGTTCCGGGAAGTACTTTGTAAGTATGGGTGTACCCTCCCATGTAGCGGCCCGTTCCCTTCTGTACGAAGCGTCATCTAAACAAACTCATGGATAAATTTAAATACACCCCCCAAAAACGAAAAGATAAAGTAGCGCATGACTTACTGAGCTATCCGGGACTGACTTTAAGTGAGTCCGAAACCACGAATGAAGAAGGACGAAAGACAGGAGATCCAATTGATACGGAATTATATGAGGATGTTCACACTCCGAGACGTTCGCTTCGCCACAGCCCGCCAATGTCGAAAAGTCAAGGGTCGGCCCGTCTGTCGAAAGAAACATATGAAGTATTTAAGACTCCAATGTCAGTGCCAACAACCAAAAGAAAAAGGCCGGAAAATAAAGACTCAGGTGAAAAGATGAGAAAAAGCACGTCGAAAACACCACCTGGCGAAAAAAGGGTCAGCAAAAAGAAGAGAGACGCGCAGGAATCGGAGACGGAATATGGATCAAACAGTGATGAAGACGAGATAGGATCGGACGTCGAAAATACGCCAACGACGTCTGTCGTTGGAATGCTCTTTGAGAGTGCAAAAAAGATCGAAACGGTTAGAACAAAATCTGGTAATTTGAAAGGAACTTTCCAAAGTATTCTTAAAACAGTGGAGATAACGATTAAAAAGGTAGGATCTGAGCTTGCCTATAGAACTAATGAAAAAGAACCACAGATAGAGAAATTAAAGAAAGAAAATATGGAAATGAAAACATATATTAGAGAACTTGAACATAGAATAAATACCCTAGAGAAAAGGACACCAAAGGAAAGAGAAAGTTACAAGTCGCCTAATAGCGATTCAAAACTCATTCACAAATCAATCGAAGAAAGCATGGATAGGAAACTCGAATCTTTCAAAAAAGAAATAATCGAAATCCTAGCCAAAAGCTCACGACCTGAGAAAGACATAAAAACGTACAAAACTTCTCCTGAGTTGATAGTAAGTGAACATGAAGATAATTTAAATATTCCTGCAAAAACTAAGGAAGTACAATCATGGGCGAAAGTGGTGAGTAAAAAAGGAAAGACGGCCGAAAGAAAACTCACTAGTCGACCCGAAAAAGGACACGAAACAACCAAGACATCAATGCGAACAAATTCTGAAAAAAAGAAGATTCCTCCGACGCTGAAAAACCCAAGAGGGACAGCAGCGGTATACATTGTACGAGAGGAGGGGTGCGTAATTGATATGGCCCAAATAATGGCTACTGCGAAGGAGAATATTAACCTGCAAGATATTGGAATTGAAAATGTGAGGCCGAGATCCTCTATTAATGGCGGGTTGATTCTGGAGATACCTAAGAAGGGCATGGATGCAAATGCCGAAATCCTCGCCGCAAGAATGGCAGATCTGCTAGCAGACAAAAAAGTTAGAGTCACTTGTCCAAAAAGAACGAGAGAAATTTTAATAACAGGCCTCGATATCTCCACTAAGGAACACGAGGTCATAGAAGCAATTAAGAAGGAAACGGATGAAAATCAATCTATTACCGTAGGACAAATCAAAACGAATACGCGAGGAATTGGCTCGATATGGGCAAAATGTAAGGAAGAAACGGCATATCAACTCTTAAAAAAAGGCAGAATTACGATTGGATGGACGGATGCGAAAGTGCTGGAGATAGAAAAAAGACCGCTTCAGTGCTTCAAGTGCTGGCAGTACGGCCATGTAAGAAACAAATGCACTAGCAGTGAAGACCGTCGAGACTGGTGCTACAAGTGTGGCTATGAGAATCATCCTGCCAGACTATGTACCGCGGACAAGGCAATCTGCAGACTGTGTCAAGACTTGGGCCTGGATTTCCAGCACAGAATGGGATCAAGTACTTGCACAGTAATGTTGAAGGCGAAGACAAGCCAATCGAACGGTCCGAAATTACCTGAAAAACGAAAAGGTGCTAAAGAAAAAGTTACTGAAATACTTACCTCTAACCATCAAGTTATGCCGAACACTAGGAACGATTGCTCGGATATAGATGCAACTACCAGGGAGGAGGAACCTGAAAGAGAGAAGATAATTAATTAATTAATAAATAATGCAAATAAAAATTTTACAAGCAAATGTAAACCGCTCCTATGCGGCGCAAACGCTTCTTAAGCAGTTCATGATAGAAGAAGGAACAGCGATAAGCGTAATCTGCGAACCACACAAAATGACAAGCGCTGAATGGATCCGCGACGAAGAAAACGACGTGGTAATATGTCAGAACGAAATGCTATCTATTTCGACTCTGAAGACGGTGAGTAAAGGCAAAGGATATATATTAATCAACTGTGATGGATTGTATATCTTAGGAGGGTATTTCTCTCCTAATAAACCCTTTCATAAATTTGAACGCTTCTTAAAAAGTATTAAAACGGTATTGAAAAAAATACCGGCAGATGCTCCTTTAATAGTATGTGGTGACTTCAACTCCCACCACAAAAGATGGGGTGCTCGAAAAAATGACGCGAGAGGGAAAAAAATGAATGATTGGGCGAGAAGCGAGAACTTATTTCTTGCTAACAAAGGAAACAGACCCACATGTGTGAGACCACAAGGCACTTCAGTCGTGGACCTCACGTGGACTAACAAAAATGCCGAAGGGAAAATCAGCAACTGGAAGGTTCTTGAGGTGGAAACTTTATCAGACCACCTATACATTAGCTTCGTCATTGACACAGGAACCCTGCAAAATAAAGATTATGAAAAAGTAACATTGAGATACTATCCCAGATGGAATCTGAAGAAGCTAGACTTACCCTCGTGCGAAGCATTTCTTTCGGCGGCATCCTGGGGATCACTTCTCTGCGAAGGAGATGAGCTGAAAGAAAAAATAAAAAAAATAGAAAAAATACTTACCATGACGTGTGATGTTGCGATGCCGAGGAAGAGACATGCGAAAAATCGCCCCCCGAACGAATGGTGGTCCGATGAAATAGCACAAGAACGACTGAATTGCCAAAAAAAAAGAAGAGCATGGCAAAAAACAAGGAGAAAAGCGTACATAACTGACGAACAGAGAAAAGAAAAAGAGAAGGAATATAGGACTTGCAAAAAGATACTAAAAACGCTAATATATGAAGCCAAAGGAAGATCGTGGAACAAACTACTAGAAGAAATCGATAACGACCCATGGGGGAAACCCTATAAATGGGCCACAGGTAAATCGAAGAGCAACGGCCCAATAGCAACAGAAAAAATGGACCCCGTATTATTAACAACAGTCCTAAACGCGCTCTTTCCACCAGCCAAGAAAGATATGCAGATTTCTCCAGATAATGAATGGAAGTCTGAATGGGAAATCTCTATGACGGAAGCGACGGCAGCTTTGGAAAAACTAAAGACAAAAAAAACAGCTCCAGGCCCAAGTGGTGTTCCCGGAACTATTTTAAGACTGGCGGCAGGACACTTTAGTAATGAAATCCGAACAATAATGAACGAATGCATGAAAACGAGAACCTTCCCGAAAAAGTGGAAAACGGCGAAAATAGTACTATTGAGGAAACCGGGAAAAGACCCAAACCAACCGTCGGGGTATCGCCCAATATGCCTTTTGGACGATCTTGGCAAAACGTTCGAGAGAATTATTGCTGCAAGAATTGACAAACACCTATCGCAAACTAGGAACAGCATCGCGGACTGCCAATTTGGGTTTAGAAAAGGACGAAGCACGTTAGATGCTATAACTCGAGTAAAGAACCAAATAAATGAATGTATCGAAATAGGAGGTGTTGCAATATCTGTGAGCGTGGACATCAGCAACGCTTTTAATTCCATCCAGTGGACCTCGATAGTGAAGGGTCTGCGCGATAAAGAAATACCAGAGTACATAATCCAGACCGTTGCATCGTACCTATCTGAAAGGACCATAACCTACATTAATAGTGAAGGGAAGTTCCAGGAGAAGCGAGTAGAATCCGGTGTTCCACAGGGGTCGGTCCTAGCCGCACCACTGTGGAACATTGGATATGATAGAGTGTTGCAAGCTTCAGTACCGAAAAAAGTAAAAGTAACAGGCTACGCCGATGATACGATAATCGTAGCTTGCGGAAGCGACTTTAGGAAAGCCATAACCCGAGCTGCCATTGCTACCAACATAATTCTTAGAGAAATTCGGAAAGTGGGACTTAAGACAGCAGCAGAGAAAACTGTAGTTACATGCTATCATGACGCTAGAACAAGAATCCCTGTAACAGAGCAATTTCTATGCATAGAAGGAAGACAAGTAAAAATGAATGAAACCACGAAATACCTTGGAGTTATTTTGGACGAGCGGCTATCCTTCAAATGTCACGCAGAGACCGTTCTTCCAAAGGTCATCGGCCTTCTGAACGGTTTGCGGAGAATCCTTCCAAATATCGGTGGACCCAGAGAGGAAATACGCAGACTATATGTCAATACTTTCAATTCGATGATGCTTTACGGGGCGCCAATATGGGCCAACGAAGTCCTACAACAAAAAATACTAATACAGGAAATAATGGGTGCTCAAAAAAAGATGGCGCTCAGAGTTATAAGTGGCTATAAGACGATCGCTATGCAGACGGTGCTCCTACTGGCTCTGTCACCCCCTATGGATATAATGATTAGAATGAGTCAGAAATACTATGAAATTACCAGGAACCTGAAAAAAGAAAAAAAGATTATTAACAATGAAGACAAAAAAATTCTGAAAGATCAGAGAGAAGAAGACACGATAACTACCTGGAAATCCAGCCTGGTCGATCTAGCAG